GTGTGGGTGTGGGTGGGTGTGGGTGTGGGTGTGGGTGGGGGTGTGGGTGGGTGTGGGTGTGGGTGGGTGTGGGTGTGGGTGTGGGTGTTGGTGTGGGTGTGTTTTTGGCTGTGTTGATCTAATCCACATCAATACGCATCCACACCCACACCCACACCCACACCCACACCCCACACCCACACCCCACACCCACACCCACACCCCACCCACACCCCACACCCACACCCACACCCACACCCACCCACACCCTAAGTACTAAATATTGAATTTTGAATGAGCAGATGTATATAGTATCCAAGAAATTAAAATATAACTGTATTTATTATTCTATTAAGAAATAAATTTCTATTATTAATCTATCGGTAGCGATTTATGGCCTACACGAAAAATTAATATCTGATCGTTAGGTATTGTTCAAGATGAGGGTGTGGGTGTGGGTTTAAACAAAAACTTAAGACACCCATACACCCACACCCACACACTCACACCCCACCCTCAAAGTGTTATGCTGAACTAAAATATGGTACTTTCAAAATATTTACACAATAGCTAACATATAGTATTTGAAAAATGCCATAGAAAAAGTGAATAAATTGTGAAAAGGCTATGTTCTATCTTTCATAGTTAATCAAACAGTATATCAATGAACAAGTATGAAAATCCTCGTGGATTTTGCATTTTCATTAGCTTATTTCTCAAGTTCTTGCTCTACTACTTTCATACACTGAGATTAATGATTGTAGTATATTATTGAACAATAGTTCACATTCTCCTACATAAATCAATTTAATAACTCTCTTATTTTACCATGAAGCGTTACTTCGCTACCATTCTTCAAGTGCTATTGACCCATGGTGATCATTCAGAGTTCGATAAACAAGACTATAAAGGAAATAGTAATTCTTTTGAGTATAATTATCATTTTGCTGTTCACTTTTGATTGGATTCACTTGAATATCTCCGAATACTTGAAATAAAGTAAACTACTACTGGGTCGTAATGATACAAGATGAATTGTAACAGTTTACCATAAAAATATGTGATTTTAAGATATATAAATTTCGATATAGCTAAAGATTCCTGAAAAACAAAGCAACTGTAACTAGCTTCTTAATATAGTATAATTCATTATTTTTTGGAACTGAAGTCTTTTTATTTTTAGTGACTCTATTTTCCATAAATACAGTATGCAATGTGAGTTACTGTAACTGATATTGAGAAAAAGTACATCTTGCCATCTACAAGAAACGTCTGTTTTAGTTATAGTATAACCGAATTGAAGGTTCATAATGTATGCATATTCAACTAAACAACTTAATTTCATTGTAAGAAAATTTTCTTTGTTTTTTTAAGAATTAAAATATAGGTGAGTCTATGCTTTTTGATCGTCGTATCGTCAAATATAAAATGCATTCAACTAGTCAAAACCGTTTTTATTCCATTTTTATTTGTGAATGTATTTTCAATAAGGTTTTATGATCAAAAATGTAAAGATTTGATTGCAATGATATTATAACAGCAACTATCATTACAAACTCAACAAGCCAATGAGCCACCACATGTTAGAAATGCTTATTTTTAGTTACGTAGAGTCTCTTTAGATTTCTCTCTATACACACTTTAAAAAAATATATATACCATTAATGTATTCGAATCAGATAACTGTGATATCATGAGTGAAATTTTTATTTCATATAAAGGTATTGTCGTCTTTTCTTTCTTGACTCATGCGTGAGGATTTTTCGTACAAATATTCCACTGTTACTCAGAATTGGAAGATTTGTAATTTCTATATTAATCTGTTCAGTCACCCATAAAAATTATCAATATATGAATCATTATTCATTAACTCTTTAAGAACATTATTTCCAAGTGATTTTATTCCACCCCATTATAAGTTTCGGTTTCATTTGAAATATATAAAAATTGAGTGTTTACAAAAAAACTGTATTCATCATTTATTTATTCAAAAGTAAAATTATAAATAAAAGATTTGATACAATAAAAGAGCGGAGAGGTTATAGAAAATCTTTCTTCAAACAAACACTATTTTTCAATGATTGGTTTAAAAACACATACATTATTCTTTTGCATTATTCCCACTCCGATTATACTTTCGAATGGGAATTTGTCTGTGTCATTTTTTTCGCCATGTCTTTTCCTTTGAATCACACTCTTTTGGCAATTATGTGTCATCAAGAGAACAAAAAAATTTCACAACAAAATGACATTTACATGTATGCTTTCTTTCACTGTCACATTACGACATTACAAAAATATATAAAAGAAGACTGCTACTTTGACAATAAATAGTTTTTCTCACAAAAGTGACTCGAAATAGAAAAGCTATCAAGTACGAGCAACACGACAATGGGATTCACATCGGATCTTCGCAAGTGTAGTCAACTTCATCAACAAAACAAACACATCGTTCGAGAGAAAGCAAACCAACGCTTTTCACTGTCCCATTTACATTTAGGTATGATTTAGAATACCTTTACAAATTTTACAAAAGTCACGGAAGATAGTGCAGAAAACGAGTAAAAACATGTAGCTAATTAAACGATTTATTTGAGACATAAACTTGTTCTTAACCTATATTAAGAGCGATATTATTATTATTTTTTGTCGAAGTTAATTATTGGACAACGATATGAATTTTCTAGGAATTGTTACTTTTCATTGAATTTGTAACTTGTATGATATTATAATCGCTGTCGAATGTGCTTGAGATTATCGATCTGATGAGCATTCTCTTTCTCTAGATCTTCATCCTCTTTTCTTTATACATATATTTGGACAGAATGTAAGTTATGAGATTACATATTCAGCTATATTCTCTGTTTATTTAGATGTAACAAATAAAACTCGATCGGCTAGATCACGGATAAGAAATCAGTTGATTGATATCTATAATGATAACTTTGAAGAAAATACCAATTATTACGATGAAAAATATTTGGAAGAAAGTTTAGAACAGGCAGAAATACAAGCTTATATTGAAGCACAATGGGATGAGATCTATGAGGCTATCGATCATGATAACGCTGATCTTCTCGATTATCTTTTGCCATCGGTTAATATTTGTAACTCTAAGGAAAAATATTGGTCCCATGAACTATACTGCCAATATTATGACGAAACTCCTAACATCCTTTCATATGCTATTCGTCTTGAACGTACAAACTGTATTCAAGTTTTGTTGAACAAAGTATATTCCGGTGATTTTTGGTTCGGTCAAACACCACTTTCGTGTGCATACGAACGAGGTGATTTGAATGTTGTTCGAGAATTTATCGAACGTGCTCACGTAAATATTAATCAAGGTGACTTCTTACAAATCGCTGTTAGAAAAGGTCATCAAATACTGGTCAAATATCTATTGAGTCAAGGATGTAATCTCCAGGGCAAATGTAACCAATTTATATTGCATGATGCGTCTGGTCTCGGTCATACTGAGATTGTTACAAGTCTTTTAAAATATGGCGCTGATCCCAATATACGGGATTATTCTGGTTGGACTCCTCTTGACTATGCCATAGATCAAAGAAATATCGACATTGTTGAAATTCTCATATCTCATTCACATGGTAATATCAAAGAAAATGGTGACAATTTCACACCTATGATGTTAGCAGTACATTATGATTTAAGATCGATTGTTGATTTACTTTTTAAAATGTTATCAATTGATCGAGCTGCTGACGATCTATTACGATTAGCTTGCCGATATACAATCGATCCTGACATGCTAAATCATGGTATGGCTTTGTATTTTTTTGTACAAGGCTTAAGTAGAAAACAAACATTGGAAAATTCTATTCTCAATGAAGTTTATGAATTTCGACAAGAATGTCAAACATTAGATCAATTGGAAAGTATACAAGATGATGAGAATGCTATGAGAATGCATGCTTTACTCGTCAATGAACGAATTTTTCTTCAACGTCAAAATGCTTCTATTTATATTGATTTAATTGAGAAACAATGCGATTATTATTGTACTCAACGTTTATTTCATCGTAGTCTTCAATTACGTTTGCATGCATACCAATTGATGCTTCGAGTTCAAAATGATTACCAAGATACACGAAGATTACATCAAAATAGTTTTCATAGATTGGTTGACAATTTACAGAGTATATTGATACAAGATGGTATAGTGCCTATTGACTCTCTAGTTATCATATTCAATTGGATTTTTGATCTAAATGCGCCACTTAGGAAATTTAGTCAAGTTAATCTTCTGCTTATCGTCATTTGTGTAAGTATATACAATTGCACTCGATGCTGATAGTACATATGATAATTATCTATGCTTCTGTCGATATTCCTTGAGCTGATAATCCCTCCTCACTAAAAGCTACTCATCTGTGTTATGTTAATAGACAACTCCTATATTACATGATCATGACTTGCTAGGTGGTGTTCATTTTAAAAAGCTACTTTCTCATATCTTGGAAACGCTCCACATCTATAAAAAAAACATTAAGATTAGGAAAAACTAAAGAAAAAAAAACACTTGCTAATGAAGTTCATATCTAATAGAAAGAAATACAATTCTTATATCAGTCAATAAAATCGACTCTCTTCAAGAGTAAATGACAACATTAATTTATGTACTAATCAATCTTAAAATTAGGCCAAATATGAATTTAATATAAAAACTTTTAATAAAAGACCTCGTTGATTTAGCATAATTCTTACGACAAAATGGAACGAAAGAACATATTAAGCCTCCCCATTTCCTCGAAAAAAGTCGATTTTCGAATAACAATATGTTGAAATGAAGTGAAATAAATAAAGAGATAGCTCGAAGTTTGCTCCTTTCTTAAGAAAATATGCTATTTTTAGAAAAAAAACCGATAATCTTTTTCTTTTTTTTCCCTCAGCTTATGATTTCTTGATCGCACAATCCGCATTTCTCTTTCTAAGCTCATAGTATATATTCATTTTGTTTTGTTTAAGAGAGATTGTCAAGGTGCAGTGTAGTACAGAGTTCTTTTCTTGAAATTAAATTTTCTTTATAATCAGAATACAGACATTCATATAATTAAAGCAGCATTTTTCGAGCCATTCAACTTGTGATTTCCGCTTTCTACTAATAAAGTTAGTTGAAGAGAGAAACTCGAGCCACCAAATGACTTATTTTTGACTGTTGTTTCATGAAAATTTTCCTAGTGACAAAATATAAGGCTGAAATCGATATTTGGGAGAAGGCGGAAATATACATAAACTTATGTCTTTTTTTTATCGATTTCTCTTGATACATATTATTCTCTTTAATTATTTTTTCTATTATATTCTTTGATTACGTCAAAAGAAGATTAAAATTAAAAATATTTAAAAATAATCATACAATTTAGGAATAATCCGTTGATGTAACATAGTGAAGCACTTATACGTGTGCATCGAAGGATTTTTTTCGCCAAAATTGATAGCGGTTGGCATAATTATTCTATTAGACATAATCATCTTTACGGACTCATCTATTTGTTGCGTTTGGCAAAAGAGGTCAAAAATGCTTTCGGAATCACTCTTAAAAACTTTAAAAATGAAATATACTCCCCTCATATGACGCTGAACCATTGAAGCTAATAGAGTTCATAAACGATATCGAAGATTTTTATAGTTCTCTTCCACATAAGACAGAAATTTCTCTGAAAAACAGCTTTGTATGCCTAAGATCGATCAAGAAAAAAAAACTTGTTGAATACTGAGAAAAACCATCTGCATTTGTTTTTCATTGTTGAATTATCATTTGATGTGATGATAAGCTGGTTGCTCGGTTATAATTATCAAATATTATATTTGTTTTCTTTTCTATAGATGATTCAATCGAAACAGATGGTAAACAAGGAGAAACATGTGCTTTTCAAGCTCCTACGACGAAGTGTACAAAATGAATCTCCTCAAAGAAGTTTTCTTGGCTATTTTATTCAAAAAAATATGAGAAATGTGTTAGTACATCAAGTTGGGCAATACAGGTACGTTTGAATCAATAAGTTTCAGATCTATTGTTGCTTCATATATAGAATTATAACAACTAGGATAAGTAGAATTATATTTGATAGAAAAAAAAATCTTGTTCAACATGAATCATTTAAAAAGACAAGAGTTTGAGAGAACATGATACTTTCTGCTTTGATAAAAAAGCAAATCCTGTATATTTGTATTAAGCATAGTTGAAATGCAAAAAAAAAATAACGTATTCTTCTCTGATTTAGTATCACAACGTTATCCATCATACATTTACTGATTCAATGTGGAGCAGATGTAAATCAAATTTGTGACAATTGTGGAAATCGACCATTGCATCTTATTGCAAAATGTTTTGATACTGCAATAGTAAGACCTGTGATGGAATTACTTTTGGCTTCCGGTGCACATTCAGATACCATCAATTCAATGAATTGTTTACCGCAAGATCTAGCATGGATACCTGATGTAGAAGCATTGCTTTGTGAAAGTCAAAAACTGTCACTCAAATGTCAATGTGCTCAAATGATTGCTTCATCGAAGATGTGTTATGAGCACTACTTAAATTCATATCTCGCTGCATTTGTTCGGTTACATAGCAAACCAGGACTAAATCGATCATGGAACTTCGATGATTGGAGC